TTCTGCTTTGTCACGCCCAGCAGAGCTTGCCAATCCTGAGCTGAAACAAGGAACCAAACTCATCTTTCCTCCTTGTAAGAGATTTTGTCACAAGAATATAAATTAAGTGATAGGCAGGCCAGGGTAACTGGGTAAAGGTACTCAAGGCCAAGCCTGAAGAATGGAGTTTAAGCCCCAGGACACACACAGTGGAAACCGACTCCTACAAGTTTCCCTCTGACATCCACTAGCATGCTGTGGCATGGATGGACACACACATATACACACACAATAAGTAAATGAATGTAATTTAAAAAACATTTTAAAAAAGAATACAAAGTGACTAACCAAGCTCCATGGAGCATCAAGATCTGTATTAGTTTTCTATAGTTGCTGTAAAAGATTACCATATTTTGATCCTACTGCACGTACTGGCTTTGTGGGAGCCTAGGCTGTTTGGATGCTCACCTTACTAGACCTGGAAGGAGGTGGAAGGTCCTTGGACTTCCCACAGGGCAGGGAATCCTGACTGCTCTTCCAGCTGATGAGGGAGGGGGAGTTGACTGGGGGAGGGAGAGGGAAATGGGAGGCAGTGGCGGGGAGGAGGCAGAAATCTCTAATAAATAAATAAATTAATTAATTAAAAAAAGATTACCATAGATTTTATAACTTAATACGCACAACTACACTGTATAATTCTAGAGGTTAGAAATCCAAAATCAATTCCACTGAGCTTAGTGAAGATGTGGTCAGGGTTGCATTCTTCCCTGAGGCTCTAGGGAAGAAGCTGTTTGCATTCCTTGGCTCTTGGCTGGTTCCTCCTGCAATCACACAACACTGACCTCTGCTTCCGCTCACTTTTGACACCTGTCTCCTTTCTATAGACACCTGTGAATCATGTGTTTACCTGAACAACTCACAACTTTCCCTTCTCCAGATCTTCAGCCACAAGTCTGGGAAGAAGCATCTGTTGGTAAGGTACCCGCTGCACAAACTCAAGTAAGTGCCTGAGTTAGCATCCCCAGAACCCACGCAAAAGCTAGGCATGGTGGCACACATCTGTAACCCCAGTGTGGGAGGATGGAGGCAGGAGTCCTGGCACTTGTGTAATTCGTGAGATCCAGATCAGTGAAAGGCCCTGTCTCAAAACACGGTGGTGATTGAGGCCTTTGCTCCCCCATGCATGTATTCACACCTGCATGCTCGTGTGAACACATACATACCACACACAGGCATACACACATAATCTTTATTCATATCTGGCAACGTCCTTTGTACCATATATAAGGCAAGAGTCATGGGCTGGGGAAAGAGGACATAGGTGTCTTTAATCACCATTATATTGCCTATCTTGTGTACAGAGTTGCTTTGTTTTGTCTCAAACCCAGGGTCTTGTTCAGGGCAGAGAGTTCACAAAGAGAGACCAGGCCACCATCCTAGCTACCACCTTGACTGCTTAAGGCCTAGAGCTCCAGGAAGCCTGGCGCCTGCGCCTGCTGCCGCCAAGAACAGCCTGTTCCCCTGGCATGCTGTGGGGCGGGGATCAGGTGCATTGGAGCCCTCAAAGAGATTATGGCTCAACTTGAGCAGCTGCCTGGCTCAGGCAAGAAGCCAGAGCTCACGGTTTCCTCTCCCTACTGACTAGAATGTGCGAGTGCTATTGTCAGGTCAGATGTGGGCCACTCGGGAAGTTCTAGCCTCATCTAGAAAATGGATATGGGGTCAGTTTATTGGTGGACTTTCACTAAACCTGCATGTCCCAGTCTCACAGGGGCTCCCAGAAAGAGACTGGAAGGTTTCCAAATTCAGGGGCCAGATATATGGGTAAGGGAAGGCACAAAGTCAGGGCAAGTGTGCTAGGATTTAGCAGGTATGACCTGGATTGGCACTGATGGGCAAGGGAACTCCAGAAAGATGCATTACTGGGGAAAGGGAAAGTATTTGGAGGAAAGTACCGCAGGGTAGCTGAGGTCCAGGCAGTAAAGAATCTGAAGGTGGATAGGGAAAGATGGGGCCGGGCTGCAGACTGAAGGGTTTCCCACTTGGGCCCAGCAGTTCTCAGGCCCTTCAGTGGTGAAACCCTTTACCCTGATAGAAGCTTACTTATGGGGCCAGGGAGCAGTATCCTGGGGCTTTTCTCAGAGATGTCTTTCCCCACCTCTTCAGACAGCACTCTGCAAGACAGAGACCATGCTCAGGTACTGTGGATCCAGTTAAAGTTTAGAACAGAGATTGGGAACAGATGCCCAGGGTCCATGGAAGTGGGCCTGCAGGAAAGGGTGCACTTCTTGTAGCTGGGGACACATTTTAATAAAGCAGCTGAATAGACCACAAGGAATAAGCCATAGGAAGTTACACAAAGCATCCGACTGTGAGGCAAGACCATAGCTTCTCCCCTGCTCTAGCAGGGGACAGACTGCTCTCCCAGGATCTGGCCTCAAGACCTCAGGGCCTGTAGAACCTGCAGAGCCTGGGTGGTACCATTTGTACCACATCCTCCTGCACTGTCCCCAAAGGACTCCCTGACTGTGTCAAGCTTCCGGCACTAGCATTAGGAGAAAGAGGAGGATAGGGCATGTGAGTCTGGCTTTCCCAGAGTGGAGCCACTGGCTGCCATGGCCCTGATGGAGAGAACCGGTGAGGAGAGGAAGAGGCTGCTCCGACGGCTCCATCTCCAGTGGGTGGAGTCACCAAGAGCCCAGGACTAAAATCCTGTCATCTTTCCTTTGCTGACTGCCATATCTGCCTGCCTCCTATTGGTGCTGAGCTGACCCAGCAGGGTACAGGACCTTCCCCGTCTGCCCTCAAGGCAACAGAAACAGCCACAATGTACCAAGAAAATCCCACACCCATCCTTGCGGTAAAGCACTTTGGCCCCGTTTCCCAAGGTTTGGAGGCCAAAGCTAAATAAGGCACAGTCATCTGCCCAAGGTCACATGCTGGTAAGGGGCGGCCTCCAGAATCCAAACCTGGGTCGATATGGCTCCAGCAAGGCAACTCAGTGTCTAGCCCAACTAAGCTAGCAGCTACAGTCTGGAGGCCCTGCCTTGCCACTCTACTTGGCTTGGATTTTTATCCCAGTGGAGTCAAGTCCTACATTTTTCTGGGAAGAAAGTTGTCCCAAGGGTGGCTCCTGCTCCAATGACCCCACTGCCCCTCCACTGTCGTTCTCTATCACTGTACTCTCTTGGGTGCCATACCGGCAGGCTCTCCAGGCCTTACCTCAGAAATAGGACTGAGGCCTGGAGGGAAAACTGTCAGAAAACTCAGCACTGAGTATAACCCAAGCTGTGAGATGAGAGGGCAACAGACGGCTGTGAGGTCATGGCAGCCTGATGTCTGAAAAGAGACAGAGCCAAAGGGCAGAGGCAAGAGAGAGAAGGCGATTTTCATACAGGCTTTGGCAAGCAAAGGGCAAACGGCATAGGAGGCTCATGAGGTGAGGAGCCTTGCTCTGGTTGTACCCTATGTTACCCTCCCAGGCTCTTTCTGGAACAGTCGTGAGGGAAAGCCCAGGCTCTCTACTTCTAGGGAAGCCAGAGATGGCTTGAGGGCCACATATCTAGTGCTAGACATCGGATAGGTCACCAGGGCCAGATGCTGGGGCTCTGAGACCTGCAGTACAGCCTCTGCCAACACAAATAAACCCTTTAACCACAGCAGCAGGCATCGTTTAAACAGGACATAAGTCTGGAAATACAGACTCCCAGAAAGCGAGGGCCTGACTTCCTTTCTCAGCCTAGCTACCTTGTATCATGGGACTTCAGGCAGGCCTTCTCTTAGCAGTTTGACCCTCCTGCCTGGACTGTGGGCATTTAGATGCCAGCATGCATGTTCTACTTTGGTGATCTAGATGCCAGCATGCATGTTCTACCTTGGTGATCTAGAACAGAATAAAGCAACGCTACTTCCTGTACTACGCTTGGACTGAGAAGAGTCTGTACCTCGGAGAAAGGCGGTAACTGGGTCCAACTCCAAGACTGGACCTGGTACCCAGCTGTCTTGGCTCTGGTGGTGCTGTTTGTTGCCTATCAGAGCACACTGTCTCTGGCTGTTGCACCTTAGGTAAGGCCCTTGCAAATGCTGGGGGCAGGGGAGAGTCAGGTAGAATGGACGTGTTTAGTCTTCAACACTTGACGAACTACCCAGATGCAATCTTGCATCAACACTCACCACTGAGAAGCTTCCTGTTGCTGTTGACAGTACCTGATCTTTGGGCCTCCTGGTAGCTGTGAATCTGCCCAGAGCTGGAGCAAAGGTCATGATTCAGTGACCACACTTGGTTGGGTGCATCAGCCGGGGAGATATATTGTGGGTTATTTGAACTCCAAATTTGAATTTCCACATTTGGAAAGGAAGTTCAATAAAAGCAAACAAAAGTCCTGTGGGGTTTTTTCCACCTTACTGTCTCAAACCTTCACTGACATCAGTGTGGGCATGCAACCCCAGGATCATGTGTCAAAAAACCCTCAACTTGCCGGGCGGTGGTGGCGCAGGCCTTTAATCCCAGCACTTGGGAGGCAGAGGCAGGCAGATCTCTGTGAGTTTGAGGCCAGCCTGGTCTACAAGAGCTAGTTCCAGGACAGGAACCAANGCCTTTAATCCCAGCACTTGGGAGGCAGAGGCAGGCAGATCTCTGTGAGTTTGAGGCCAGCCTGGTCTACAAGAGCTAGTTCCAGGACAGGAACCAAAAGCTACGGAGAAACCCTGTCGAAAAAAAAAAAAAAAAAAACCCTCAACTCCACCCTCATCCTCAGACATGGCCCCCATGCTCAGTTTGGGCCCAGTCAAGGAAGGGTACATAGGTATACTGGGCTGGAGGTAGACGATGTTAACCCAAAGAATGAGCTCTTCTGCGCAGCCCCTACAGTGTCCAAGGACAGGATTAAGCCTCATACCCCTACCCCCATCATGTGCTCTCCTTACACTGGGCCCCACCCCTATCACACAGTCTGCTTGACTTACTGGAGTAGGAGGCTCTCAGGCCTAATCCTATACAGAGGACAAGGGCCCACAGATACTGCTAACAAACGCTGGTTTACCATTTATTGTTCTCTCGGTACTTAACTGGCCACATTTCCCAATATCTTCTCAGCAGTTTCACCACAGGAACAACAAGTAGCCTGTGACACTGAGGAGAAAGAGCTGGGCCTGAAACCCAGCTCTTGAGTCTCTGTTCTTTGCTGCCCCAGGAAGAACACTCCATCCTTATTTCCAAGTCTCCTAGCAACATCCATCGTGGGGAATCGCAGAACCATGGGCCATGCCTGTGGTTCTGGACAGCATTACTGCCTCCCTCTGAGCAGTATTCCATGCAGGGCCAGTCAGGCCCCCAGCAGACTGGAATCCTGGCCAGCTGTTCACAGAGTAGCCACACTATGCTGCAGACTTCCGGACATGCAGGAACCGGGGCCTGGGGAGACAGGATGCATATCTGGGTATCATCTATGCTCTAAGGAATGCACAAGTGGTGGGGACTGCTAGAGAGCACGGAAGGAGTACGGCGACGGGAGCTGTAGCCTTACCTCCCACAGAAGTCTTTCCGTACAGCCACAAGACTAAGACGCAGGTCGGGCCGGCTCTGAAGCCAGCTGCTGACAAGCTCTGGGTGTCTTGGGTCCACTTCTAAGAAGATGCTTCTACATGGTGGAAAGAGAGGTCAGCTCAGCTAGGTAGGGCCAGGACCTGTGCTTCTACATCATCTGGACTGCAAGAGGCAGGGGAACAATGATTGCCAAGACATGTCAATCACAGTGGAAGTGGAGGTGGCATCCATACCCAGAGGCATTCAATAGCCGGGGAGCTAAGGTCAAGATGCGGGTAATGATGTCCATGCCTTCCTCACCACCATCCAGGGCTACCAGGTCTTCATAGCTGAATGGGAAAACACTGGCAGGTGAGAGACTGAGGTAGAGTAGGTGAAAGGGTCGACAGGCCAGGGGGCGTTCACAAAAGGCCTGGGACTTAGACCCTGGGCGGAGAGGTAAGCTGAGGATCCATTAGCAAGCGGTTCCTAAATGGACAGCAGGTTTTACCTTCCTGCTCGCTCTTGCAGACCTCCCCCCCCAGCAGGGCCAGACGGATGTGGGAGTCCCACTGACAGCCTTTAGGGCATGAGGCTCTCTCAGAACCCAGCTGCTCCTGCTCTTAATCTGACTACTTCTATGAGCCTAGAAAAGAGGAGCCAGCATCTACCCAGTGTCACTAGGGCTTATGGAGGGACATGTGGTTACACTGGGGTTCCCGTCCTTGTAAATGCAGGATGGCTTTCCCACTAAGTCATCATGGGGCAGCCTCCCTCTCTGGTGCACATTCCTCTATAAGTGCCTTCTATCACGATGCCTGATGTCCTTCCCGTGGTCCTGCAAGCACTACCGCTTTTCAAAGCAGAAACGGAGGCTCAGAGAGGCTAGGGACCTCCAGGAGTCAGACGTGCAAGGGCAAAAACTGTCCCAGTAAGGCTGTGGCACTAAAGTGCGCCTCTCAACACTGCTGTCCCTCCAGGCCACACCTCTTTTCTCCAGACAGAAGTCCTCCGGCACAGAGGGATCCCAGTAGAGCTTCTCTAACGTTCCACCCACCCTGTACCTGCAGATCTCTGGTGCCAGCTGTTCCATGTCCTTGTGGAAGACGTAGGGAGGGTTACTGACCACCAAGTCTATGGGACCCCAGGGCAAAAGGTGTGTCCAACACCCTTCTGTGGACAAAGAAATGGATACATAGAATGGAGTGGTCCACTGAGAAGGGAAAGTTGGTAGCTCCACTTGCCATCTTGTCCCTTGGGCAGTCCCTCTTCCCAAGTCATACTGTGGGCCTGTCTCTAGACCTGGCCAAACTTGAAGATTAGTAGCCAGAGTCTCTACTTAGCAGGCTGGCCAGAAGTGGACATGTTCTGACAGGCAGCCTTTCACCTAGCATGTCCGCATTCTCTCTGCTCCCTGTCAAGGCCTCCTCAGTAAGCAATATTCAAGTGCCACCTCCAGAAAACCCTCCCTGATTCACAGGCAGAGGAAGGGCTTCTCGCTCTGCAGCCCCCTGGCCTTGCTACTCTCTGCTTTATAAACAGTATGTTCTGAAAGCATAGGGAGGGCAGGCCGGCCCTCAGCCAACCCCTTATGGCTGTGTCCGGGTCCCACTTGTACCAGATGCTAAACCAGGCAGATCACACTCCCACAAAACTCGGGGACCCTATGAGTAACAGAAGAATAGAACTGGAGCTGGAAACCTGAGGCTCCTGCAAAGCAGCCCACAAGCCAGGCTCGGCCTGACCACCTCTTCCAGGCCAGGTGGAGACAGAGAGGCTCACAGTGTCTTGGTCCTAAAATTTTCTTTCTTAGTTGTTGCTGGTTTGATTTTGTGTGTGTGTGTGTATGTGTGTGTGTGTGTGTGTGTGATGTTTTACCTTGTATCCCAAGCTAGTCTAGACTTCACTCTGCTCCTTAGACAGGCCTTGAATTCATAGCAATCCTCTTGCCTCCCCCACTGCTAAGATAACAGGTTCCTGGCTCTGAACTGCTTTCCTTTGAAAATCTCTTCATGGCTTGCCAGTAAACACACCTTAGTTAAACTTATCAGTCATAGGAATCCAAAGATAAAGAAAGGCCTTGTTGCTGGGTGGTGGGGGCACACACCTTTATTCTCGCCACTCTTGAGGCAGAGGCCGACAGACAGCCAGGGCTACACAAAGAAACCCCGCCCACTCCCCAAAAGACCTTCATGGGTCAGGTCAGCTAAGGAGACAGCAACAGTTCCTTGTCTGTCCTCAGCAAGGGCTAATCTGAGATGGTCCACTGGTCCACAGATATGCTTACTGGGAAACCCTTACCCCATTTCTGCAGTGCCTCACCCACCAGAAATTCCTCTATCCAGGATCCCCACCCCAAAAACATGGGCAGAGGGGATATACCTGAAGTTATATCAAGGGGAACGATCCGAATCCTGTCCTGCAACTGAAGCCTGGAGAGATGGGGAGGTGGCGGTGAGCATAGGATGTAAGCCATTACCCTTGGCTTCAAGGACCAGGAGGGAAATGAGCCCTTCTTGGACCAGCAATACAGCCACTGCTCACAGTCCGTCCATCCATAAAGCCATGGGACCAACGCCAGGCAACCCTCATTGCACCTCTCCCTCAAGAGCAGAAGGCAGACAGAAGTGGGTTTGATACTAGAATAAAGGTGAAGACCAGGCCCCCAAGTCCAACTCCCCAGTGCTGGCCCTCTGGACCTCCTGGTCCATATACCTCTGAGCATTCTTACGGGTCAGACGAACAGCAGCTTCTCCCTTATCCACAGCAATGACTTGACTCTGCCCCAAGAACAAAGGAAGAGAGGTGGAGTTCTGGGAGATGCCTGTCTGAGAACTCCTCCCTAGCTCCTCAAAAGAAACATGGAACAAAATTTTCCTATAGTTAGGCTCCAGACAGACAGACAGGAGTGGAAGGCAGAGGTGATCGCCCTGCTGGGCTGGGCACACCTTCCTTTTCTGGCCACTTTCCCTCAATGCTTCTAGAAGAAGGATGTGGGTGAAGGGTCAATGGAAGGGACAGTGAGTGACTATCTCACTCTATCTCGATGTCTGATAAAGGCGGGGCGGAGGAAAGCTGAGGGGGCTTACCTCAGGGAGCTGACTCAGCAGGCTGAGGGCAATGGCTCCTGATCCACAGCCCACCTCCAGAATGAGGGGACCACTCTGGGCTCCCACTGCAGGGGGTCTCTGAGCCACTTCCTCTAAAACCCATTCAACCAGTTCCTGGAAGGCAGAGGGTCTGGATTAGACTGGGTATCATCTTGCTCCTGGGGAGCCTTAAAAAGAGGTCCAAGCAGTTGGTTCCTGGTGAAGACAGACAGGTGGGAACTGTCAAGGCCAAAATGATTCTGACATCAGCAAGAACCTGAGTGGATCACTTTGTCCCTGCATGCCTTAGTTTACTCATCTGCAAAACTGCGCACTGCCTTCAAGAACACAGTAAAAATTAGTCAGAGTCATACACCTGACCCCTTATCTGCCTACATGCACTTAATCAACCCTAGTTATGCCTGTCCGGACATTTTCCATTATTATACTCACAGCAATGCTGAGAACCATATTTGATGGCCAATCCCTCTGTTCCTGGTCCTATCTATCCTTCTAGAGACAGTACTAATACGTTGATCATCACCACTGGCTCATAAAGAAACACCCACGGGTCAAGGCCCTACCTAGAGCCTGAGCTGTGGCTCGTAGTGGTCAAGAATCAAAGGCTTGGGGTTGAGGATATAGCGCAAAGGAAGAGCACTTGCCTAGCATATGTAAAGTTCTGGGTTCCACCCCTAGTACTATGGGGGGAAAATAAATAAATCAGGGGTGGCTGGTGTACCCTCAGAGTTGTGTTTGGGAATTCCCAGAAGACTCCTAGACCAAAGGGACAAGCAGTTACCTTCATGGGGCAGGGACACACCTCTGTCCACGTCTCATACCTGCAGGTGGCTGAGGCACACACAGAACATGGTAAAGGGGCACAGGTGTAGTGAGAGCCTGTCTGGACGGTACCCACTTCTGCAGCAAAAGTATACTTTCAGAAATCATCAGCAGGAACGCAAGAGGGTTTAGGGTCCTGCCCACCATCTGATGCCCACTGGGACTGTACATAGTAATCAGCACACGGTGAGCTAGGAATGAAGGGTGAAGGATGCTGTTGTCCAGAGCTGAAATGTTTCTACCCAGAGGAGAGTGGGGGACCAAGCATACTGCAGGTTGTCTTCTCAAAGATAACCCCCTTGGGTACGGGCAGAGGGACCCTTCAAGGCTCAGGAAACTGGGAGGAACGCAGTAGGTGAAAGCCTTTGAAGGAAGCCTTCCTTGGCCCTCTAAAGTGTCTCTGTTATCAGACTTGGAGGTTACAAACTGTGCCCCAAATCAGACCTGGCCACCCATCCTCAATAAGCCAACAAAAAGAGCCAAATTAAAAGTAGAAGGCAGAAAGGAGGGGAGGTTATGGGAGGAGAGGAAACGAGAAGGGAGGGAGGGGAATGGAGAGGAGGGAAGGGGAGGAGAGGTTATGGGAGGGAAGGGGAAAGGAGGGAAGAGGAAGTGGGGAGAGGAAGTAGAGGGGAAGGGAAGGGAAAGGGAAAGGGAAAGGGAAAGGGAAGAAATTTATTCAATGAGGCCACACTGGGAGGAGGGACAAAGAAATCCAGCAAATCTTTCAAGTCCATCTCAGATTCCTGAAGTGAGATCAAAATTTAAACAGCGGGCCAAGGATATGCAAGTCTAGGCATCCGGTCAAGGTGTGGTCCTGCCCACCACCAAGTCATCATTGCCTAGGCTTCAGTCTGACAAGTTGTTAGGACTGTGAGATCCCTTTGTGGGACACAAGCTCCCTGCTGACTAGTGCACGAGATTTCTCCAGAAATCCCTACTTTTTTGGGGTCTGATAGATTGAGGGACATAGTTACCTCTTTAGAACATCTTCATTCTGCAGACTGGTTGCATCTCTACAACCCAAAGATCTTCAGCCTGACTTGAAGATCTAGGACAGGGGTTGTCTCTCTTGTGATATTAAATTATGAGAAGACCAGGCCCAGTGGAGCAAACAGCATCAGATCATCCAAACCCCCTTTCATTTTAAGTTTGTCCTCCTGAGTCTCAAAAGCATTTTGTCCTTCCTAGGGCCCCAATCTCAGTGGCAATGCTCATTCATACCAAAGGTGACAAGTCCAAAGTAGACAGAGAGGAGAGCTGGACCAGCCTGCCCCGATCCAAGCCCATTGTGCACTACTGTCTATAGGTTCAGTCCTGTGCCAGGGATGAATGGAGAGCACTGGGTGTGTTCACCAAACTGGGCTTATGGCCGGCGAACAGCTCACAATCTAGGACTGTGACTGAAAGGCTGTGGTAAAGGCAGCAGGCTTAAAGGCCAGCAAAATGACAGCCTATGTTAGGGGTGTGAGTTTCTCTGGGTTTCCTGGCCACAAACAGCCCACTCTGGCTGGAGGATGACCCCTCAGCCAGCCCACACTGGCTAGCCACCTCACAGAGGCATCCCTGACCTCAGACACACACACACCATCCATGCAAATGGCCACCTGGGGCAGGGCTGAGAGACTGAGCCCTCACTGACACCAGTGGCCTCTTACCTTCCTTTCTACCACAGACCATGGAAAGCTCATCTTGATCAGACCATCTGGGGACTATCTATGTTGAGATTACATTCAGAAAGTCTAGATAATTCTTTCCTAGGCAATAAAGAACTTCCCTCTACCTAACACTCTTGGCTCTTTGAGAAGGATCTGAGCCAAGCTGGTCACAGACCCAGATCATCTGTTCCAACTGAATCCAGGAAGGATTCAAAACATGGGGTGACAGATAAGAGAAATAGAAGTCAGAGGCAGGGAAAGAGCAGTGGGTGGTTTTGCCAAGCCAGTGCTCCCAATGAGACTGCATAAGCCTTATAGAGGCAACCAAGGGCTCAGAGGGCTTCCCATGAGCACCCTCTAGTAGGATCATCTCCCTGGTGGGTTGACACCAGTCAGGTGTATGGCCTCCCTAAAACAGTGATGGCACTAGGCTCCCACAGCCAATACAGTCATACCACACAGATGGGGATGGAATGGCTCACACCCCAGACTTCAGTTTCCCACTGTACAGACTGCCATACAGGAGACTCGGTCACCCTCTCACTCCCCCCCAGGGAAAATAAAACTCATCAGGCCACAAGCCACTTGCAACTTTGCATTTCAGACTTTCACACCCACCAGCAAAAACCGCCCTTTGATGGATAGAGAATACAGACTCCGTGACCCCTCCCCTGCACCCAATCTCTCTACTCTCTGCCACAGGCCACGTCCTCTCAATTTCTTAGTAAAGCACCCCTGCCTGATGTGGCTTCACATTGGGGCGAACCTGGTGAGTTCTCAGAAATGTCTGTACAGTGAGGCAGGCCTGGCCCCCCAACCACAGCATCCTCACTCTTCCCCTCCTCAAGCAGCAAAGCTGCCTTCCTGGCCCGGACACCCCGAGAGTGGGTGGGGCACACGGGAGCCAAAAGCTCACACCCAACGCCCAGAATCCAAACACACACACCAGTTACCACCATGATAGCTGCCCTTCTATGTCTGAGCCTTGACAGTCTCCACGCATGGCGAGTGATCTCCTGGCCCAAAGTCAGGTATTTGGAGAAAGCTACAGGGCAATCTTCCAAAAGCCTGAAGATGACAGGTTACATCCTGTTTTTGAGTGTCTGTACCTCGTCCCAGGTTATGTCAGTACTAAACAGGAAAGAGTCAGAAGTTCGGGTACAGCCCATGGGTCCCTTCCTTGATAGCTCTTTAACTTCTCAAGGCCTCAGACTTCCTGCTCCAATTTTGGGGAATGAGGTGAAGTTCAGTCTTTCAACCACATGATAAGGGGGTACTCCAGGTGGTCAGCGGATTTTTTAATATGCATAGTATTTTGCTGGTATGCATGCCCACGTCCAGTGTGCATGCAGTGCCCACAGGGGCCAGAAGAGGATATCAGATCCCATGGGATTGTAGTTAGAGATGGTTATAAACCACCATGTAGGCTCTAGGAATTGAACCTGGATCCTCCGGAAGAGCAGCCAGTGCTCCTAACCATTGAGCCATCTCTCCAGAAAGATCTTGACCAAGGGAAAGAGACTGAAAGGGTGAAGGAAAGACAGCTCAGAGGCCCTGGCTAGCAAAAGTGGAAGGGGATGGACTTTTCCCAAAAATGTTTATTTGCCAAGAAATCTTCCCAGAAACAATCTTCTCCAGAGTCTAGCGCCCTCAGATTTTGCTCAGCATCCCCTCTGCAGCCCCACATCACACCAGAGTCCACTTCTAGCTCCCAGCTCTGCCATCAACAAAATAAGGGAGCATTGTAAGACGGACAGAGAAACATGGCTCCCAGATCAGGGTGTGTCCCCAAGGGACAGCATGTATGGGCCACACAATCCCCAGCTCTGGCCGTTTGAGGGACTGACATAGACAATCACCTGACCAGACAACAGACCTACGCAGGTCACCCAGTCACAGATACCCTGGCCTGGCAGGCCAACACTCTCATCATCTGAGCCGGCAGCAACCGCCTCTAAAATCACACTGCTCATACCGGGCCCCCAGGTGCCCTCTCTACTTCTCCCTGTTCTCTAAGTTGCTGGAGGCCATTTATTTCCTATGGTTCGAGTCGGCCATGGGCCTACAGGACAGCTCCTAAGGAATGGCCACCATGAGTGACGCGCTGGGACAACACTTGGAGCATTCTATGTCACTTCCAGTCCTTGGAGCTGGGTGGAGGCTTGGGATGTGAAGAGAGTCAAAGGAAGAAGGCAAGAGGAGTCTTCTACCGTGGCTCAGCCAACCTAGCCAGCAAGAAGGAAGTGTGGAAGGGCACTGCCCCTGTGAATGGCAGTCATGGGGCCCCAGCACCCCCTGGAGGAAGTCTGGGGCAAGACAGGTACCTTCCCATTTTCTCATCTCCATCCTGACTTGTCTCAGTGATATACTCACTTCCGTCTCTGGCCGAGGAATGAACACTGGGGGTTCCATTTTCAGACTGAGTCCCTGAAAGTCCCACTCCCCAAGGATATACTGCACCGGCATCCTGCAAGAGGAGCATTCAGGGAGGTCATCAGTACCAGAACCAGGACTAACAAGACCAGAGCTGAGGTGACAATGACTGTGGCCAAGGCAGGTTCCCGTCTGCAATACCCTAGGACACAGTCAGGCCTTCCCTTCTTCCCTTCTTTAAACTTACTATATCAGCCCCTCTCTTGCCACTTCCGCACCCCAACAGATCTCTAGTCATTAGACACTTTACGCCTCTATGACCATAACTTGGCGGGACTAGGGAAGGATGATTCTCTGTTCCTAACTCAAGAGTTCTCAGATCTGTCCATGGCTGCTTACCTCTGTAATCGATGACTACACAGTTCCTGGATGTACTGCAGTTGTTTAGGGGTCAGTGGCTTGGTCCAAAGTACTGGTCTCAGGCTCTGAAACTGTCCCCATGGAGAACGTGAGTGGCTGGCTCCCTTGGTTTCTTGTGTGGACAATGGACTCAAGACTCTGGACTCAACACTAGCCACTTAGTCCTCCCTGGGCCTGCAGAGCCTGGAATGCACTGTAACCGTTTGTTGGGTGAACGAATATCTGCCTGAAACATCTGCTCAGTAAAATTCCACCAGTCTCTGCTAAGCACCCTGAGGCAAACAAAATAAAATAGCAACCCCACCCCGCCTCCCATATCTGTTCCTCAGAGTTTTCCTTCCTCCCTCTTTTTATCCCCAACATGGCACTTAACTGTTTTGGCTCCAAGAACATGGGCCACGATGTACTCACTGGACTTCCGGGCCTCTGGGATACCTCTTTGCTCAAAGACCTGTGTCCAGTGGCTGACCACCTCTGTGGCATTCAACTGCCCAGACAGAGATGAACGAGGCTTCCATGAGTTGGGGGCCCAGCCTTGGGGGGCTCCCCTCCTTCCCCTGGAACCAGATAGGAGGGTCCAAAGTATTCGCCCCCAAAGTTTCATGTTTTAGAGAAAGGTTTGCAAGTTCCTAAGTCTCCCTTGTGATACCAGTCACTGAGGGAGGTGCCGGGGTGACCCCTAGGCTGGGCTGGCTGCAGAAGTCATGAGCTCTGGTTCTCTGGTGTTTTATTCCTCAGATGCTGTTGTCACCCTAAAGGACATGAGGAAAGACTCAAAAGCTGCCTGAAAAGAGTGTGCTTTTTAGTCTGTCACTCCTGGACTATGTTCACACCCTCAACCACCTACTTGATTTCTCCTTGTCTTGGCCAGTTATTATTATTATTATTATTATTATTATTATTAATTATTATTATTATTTTTAGATGAAGTAGGTTTAACTGGTAGAGCTTGGTTCCTATTAATAGTCAGGGTGTGGGCTTGGGAGTAGGGCTAATGTCAGACCCCAGTGTATGTGAGCTCAGCCAAATCATTGTTTCTGACTACCAGTTTGAGCATCCATAATGTGGGGGAAGTAACACCAGCTCTGTGGTGACTGGTGCCTTAACCAATGGATGTCAAGGGCCTGTACAACAGTTCACCATACACCAGAACTCATTAATGGAGGGCAGGGGACTGACATGCTCGGAGCTTTGCTTCACATCCTGTATTGCACCATCATTGCTTGGAAGCTGAATTTTTCCCTCCAATTTAACCCATAACCCTAGTCATTAGCATGAATTGAAGGCTGAAAATTTGTTACACTCAAGTTAACATAAATAAGTTATCTGAAAACTTACTAACATCTGCTGAGCACTTGCTAACAACCACAGCCTCAAAGACGGGGCTTCAGAGGAAAGAAGCAACTTGTTCCCAGGTACGAAAGGAAGCAAAGCTCCAAGTCTCAACAACACAACTTCCATCCCAAATACGCAAGGGCACTATCATCAACGACACTGGTAAGCGTGCCTCTCTCCGAGCCATTTGCCCCGACTGTGAGGGTATAGGACCGGCCTGGTCTCAAAAGTCAACATTGCGGCCATGCACTCCTATCCCGATCTCTACTGCTAGTGCATACCCGGTTGAGGGAATGAACGCTTGCCCTACTTACACAAAGGCACCAGGAACCGGCACCAGGGTCGGCCCCCGGATATGCGTATTCTGCAGTGCACTCCCTCGGCACCTTGTTTCCGTCTCAGTGTTGTTGAGAAAGTGCTCGGGTGCACCACGTTCCCCTAGACTAGGGTTCCTACAGCGATAAATTCCGCCTTTAAAGACTACGAGAGGGCGGTCGGGGAGGCTGAGCTGACTGGCACCCACCCGCAGCCCCACTAAGAGGAAAGTGCAGGGGTGTGTGAGGTGCTTTGTAGGGTCCCAGACCCACTAGTCTTCCTTAAGGTCGCAGCAGAGCTGTGGCTCCAGCCTGCAGTGATTGCTTCAAGCACACGGTTTTTCCTTTCCAGTAGGGGCGGTGTATGGGCAGAAACAAACAGCGAGGATGTCACCCATGTGCGTTGGGTTTGAGAACCAAGACTAGATGGGGAGGAAGGGTGCTGTTCTAACACCTTGTAAGCTAAGTCTAGCAGCGTGTGGTTGGGTTTCAGTGTTTGAGGGCAGTCTCTGTTTTCGGGAAGGGACTAGACATATAAAGACCCCTTTGACCTCACATGCACATAAAATATGGACCAGAAAAGCGAATACTGGGAAACTGGATTTGAATCCTGGTTTTGTTGGCAACTCGTTGGTTAACTTTGTTTAAGTGCCCAGGCCTTTCTAGGCTTTAGTTGCATCTTTTATAAAATTCATAGCAGTTGCAGGACCTGCACAGGCATGTAGCCACAGCTCCTGGAGTGACCGAAGCAGGAAGATCATATGTTCAGGGCCAGCCTGGGAAATTTAGTAAAAACCTGTCTCAAAATTTAAAAGGTGGGAGAAAACCTTGAAGGCATAGCTCAGCGGTTAGAAGCACATATTGCTCTTGCAGAGGACTTCAGTTCCAAGTACCTCAGGCGGCACCTGCGCTCACCTGTACATACCTACCCCCACACACATACACATAATTTTAAGAAACAAAATTTAAAAATTTTGAAAATAAAACATAGCACATTGGGGGGTAGCTCAGTTGTTGGTGTGCTCACCTAACATGCACAAAATTCTGGGTTTGGTGCCCATCAATGGGATATGGTGATATGCACTTGTAAACCCCAGCTCTCAAAAGGTGGAGGCACAGAGACCAGAAGCTCATCTTTCAAGGCTAGACTGGGCTACAGAAAACCCTGTTTCAAAAAAGTAAAAAATAAAAAATTGGGGGGAAAATGGGAGGGGGCTGTATTGTAGAATAGGATATTTGTTTAATAGAATATTTGTAAACAAATGTATTACATTTGTTTGTGCTGCAGAATAATTGTTTAACTATGTAAAGATGTGTTGAATTTGTTTTTTTAAGATTTATTTATTTATTTATTATGTATAAAATATTCTTAGTATTCTGCATGTATGCCTGCAGGCCAGAAGAGGGCACCAGATCTCATTACAGATAGTTGTGAGCCACCATGTGGTTGATGGGAATTGAACTCAGGACCTTTGGAGAGCAAGCAGCACTCTTAACCACTGAGCCATCTCTCCAGCCCCGAATTTGTTTAATGATGTAAAGATGTGTTGCTTTTGTTTATGCTGCATTTGTTTAACTATATAAAGATGTTTTGCTGTTTTGCCTTGCCTTCCTAAGGCACCTGATTGATCTAATAAAAATCTGAACAGCCAATAGCTAGGCAGTAGAGGAATAGGCAGGGCTGGTGAGCAGAGAGAATAAGTAGGAGAAGGAATCTAGACTCAAGGGAGAAAGAGAAGAAGTGTCCAGGGCCAGCCAACCAACCAGCCACCTGCCTGACACAGACACAGAGTAGGACATACAGAAGGAAAGAAAGGTTTAAAAAAAAAAAGGCTTAGGCAAAATGTAGATGAAGAGACACAGGTTAATATAAGTTATAAGAGCTAGTGGGACAAGCCTAAACTAAAGCCAAGATTCATAACTAATAATAAGTCTCCAAGACATGATGGGGGAGTTGGTGGTCCTAGAAAGTCTGCTACAGGGTTGGGTACTGGGTGTACTGGTGCACACCTATAAATTCCAGTAAAAGGGGTTCTGGGGAGATGGCTCAGTGGTTAAGAGCACTGACTGTTTTTCCAGAGGACCTGGGTTTAATTCTCAGCACCCACACAGAGGCTAACAGCAGTCTGTAACTCCAGTACCAAAGGATTCAATGCCCTCTTCTGGCTTCCTCAAGCACCACACACACACACACACACACACACACACACACACACACACATGCACACACGCGTGCTCATGTGCACATGGTGCACAAATATACATGGTGACAAAACATTCTTACACATAAAAATCAATTAAAATTCAAAATCCCAGCACCCAGGGAGTGGAGGGTTGGCTTGTTTCAAGGCCAGCCTGGGCTACATAGTGAGTAGCAGGCCATCCTGGACAACACAACAGTATACTTTGTCTAGAGGACCATAGTTGGGAGGGGGGTTAAAGGGCTGGGGAATCTAACTCTGGAGTAGAGGGAATTAGTGCCTCGGTCCTGAGATGAATTTTACTGTGGATGGAAGCTGTTATGAGGAGTATAGGCTTGCTTGGGTCGGGGTACACAATTATAGTATAATGTCACTCCGTTATAATTCCATTCTGCTCCCAACATCTCTGGACTGAAGACTCGCCATTTATAGCCCTACAGTTGGAGTCATTTACCAACAATTTACCAAAAAGCCCTTTCATCAGGGTTCCTATCTAAGCAGGAAGTGGAGGCAAAAGGAAGAGAAGCAGTTTGCTGTTCAAGCCAGAGTTCAATTTAGGCTTCAAAGATCGAATCTACTGCTCTCATCAAATCTCTGCACCTAAGCATTTTCTGCTTACAAGACTGTCCCAGTGCTCGTGGAGCTGGCCAGGAGCCCGAATTCTGGCCCAGAAAGGATCTGGCCACCTACGGTCCACTGCCCAACTTCCGGCAGGTCACCAGGGTCAGAGGTAGTCTCCGAGAATCTCTTCTCACGGTCGGATTTCAGCTCCCAGCTCCCGCTGGGGGCGGAGCTATATCCGAACGACAGGCGAGTAGGCCAATGTTGGTCGGGTTTTAGGCCTGTTGACCAATCAGAACAAAGAGGCGCGGAGGGGGCGGGAGGCAAGGCTCTCTGGCTCCTGGGGATCCCCCGAGGCTGCTCATCCTAACCCCACCCCCTCCATGGTCCGGACCCAGCCCACCCCAGCTCAGGCTGTCAGCCGGCGCAGGCTAATACTAGCTGATCCCTGCGTTCAGGGAAGGCGGACCTTGGGTCGGACCTGTCGCCTCCAAAGCCGGGGCCTGGGTGTTCCCCCCCCCCGCCCACGCCTCCCGCCCGCCTGCCGGTCGCTACCACTCTTAGCTTCTCAGACTGAGCTCCTCGTCCCGGAGAGGATTAAGTAAGTGCCTGAGCTCGGCTGCTTCTGAACAAGAATGGAGGAATCAGGGTCGTGGAGGCGGGCGTGGGGACTGAGGCGGGGAGGACTCAGAGACCTGATGGAGAATGGCATGCAGCTTCTTGGAGGTCGCGGTGCCCACCAGTTTCACCCCAGTGTTCTTCCTTCCCCTTTGGCCAAGAAAATAGTCAGCAGGATGCCTTCTCTCCTTTTGGCTCATAATAAACCGAGACTCAAAGCAAGTTAAGGGTCTGATCCAAGGTCATGGCTGGGATCAGTGGCAAAGCTCAGAAGTGAACCTGAGACTTCTTGTTGAGCCAAGCAGGAGAGGTCAGAAAGGAATAAGTCTACTCCATGCATGACCTTCTGCCAGTTTTGCTCCTCCCTAGGGGACCATGATGGGTATGTGCTCACTTTCACACATAATCTTGCACCTGCAAGAGGAGGTATCCCATGCACACCTATGAGCCACCCAGAGAAACATGTATGTAGCCATAAGCTAAGGATCCTTTCTTTTTCTAGGTCTGCCCCTCTGTGCCTCTGCTAGGACTCCTCCCCACCCTGCTTTACCTAAGACCCACAGGGCTCAGTGATCTCCCACTCTCTTGTTCCAAAATAGAAGAGAAACAGGAGAAGGCGGTTCAAAGTGGGTATTCCCTAACTGCCTTTGCAGATGTAACTCCTTGCCTTACTTCTAGGAATGACAGGGGTCGGTCCAGTGACCACCCCTGCCAACTGCCCCCCTGCCAGAGGACCTAGCTCAGTCTGTCCTTTCTGCCTCTTGGTGTCTCAGCGCCAGCTCCACCTCAGCCCCAACCACACACAGCCTGGGTCACACAGGTCCAGTGACTCCTGTGCCCTCCTCCTCCTGGCTTGTGGGTGGTAGTGATGGAGATTCCTGTGGACAGGCCTTGTGCTCAGCTAACTTCTCTCCCTACTGGGAACGTCCCCCCTGAGGGACTTGTTCATTCTAACTAGCCCTACCACAGCATGGGATTGCTTTTACCATTTCCACTGGGGGGTGGGGAGGGGCTAGACACAGAGAAAAGTGGGGACTTGCCTGGGATTATTCTGTGAGCCCAGGATTCAAAATCAGGTCTTTCTGCATCTTAGGCAAGTGTTTCCCTTCAAGCAAGGTAAAGGCTGCAGTTTTTTTCCCAAGCAGGATGAGAGGTGCATGGGGTGTAGGGAGTTAGGAGGTAGGAGGAGGAGAAATAGAGAGTACAGAGATATTTGTGCAAGGGTGGACTTTTCCTTTCAGGCCTTCTGCATCTTCTATCTTCCATATATGATCAATATAATCATGTTTTCATGTCCCTGCATCCATATAGGAACCATAGGCAAAGCCTCTGTCCTAATACTCCCTAAACTTGACTTACTCCATCTTGAAACCTTTACTTCCTCAGTGCCTCCAGACTCTAGAGGATTTATCTCAGGCCATGCCCCTGCTGTAACTCCTGCTTTTATTCTTGCCTTTCTAGAGCCCAGGAAGGCAGGGGTCTCCTGCTAAAGATTTGGATGTGCTGGTGGTCATCATATTGGTGGGAGCTACAGCCTTGGACACCCCTCACGTCAGAAGTCAGTGGGCAGGTTGATTGAGCACTGGCAGGCTCCCAGCATCAGCATGAACTCCAGGGTCCCAGCTACTCAGAACTGGTTCAGCAGCCACCCACCCACCACAGAGCCTGACTTGGAACCTGCCACTGAAGGGTCTACCACAGAGACTAACACCCTCAGCCCAGAAACCACAAGCTTCAATGGCACCAGAATCCCTGATATGGCAGGTGGTTCAGCTGGTGTGGGTACCATGCTTCTGTCTTTTGGGATCATCACAGTGATTGGCCTGGCTGTGGCCATGGTGAGAGCTGGGGAGAGCTGGAGAAGGCCCAGAAGGTGGTCCTTTGGGGGAGGGTGATTAGTGTTTAGACTTACAGACACCCTAATTAGAAGACAATGGTGCATTAATGATAATGCAATTCCCTCCCACCTACTCCCAAGATTTACTTACCGGGGCCCAGAAAGCAATTCTAATTGGAAGAGCCAGAAACAAGTCTGAATAATACGTGGTGTGTTGAGCTGGGGCATATAAGATTGAGACTGGGGAGGGGTAAAGACTGGGGAGGGGTAAAGATTGAGACTGGGGAGGGGTCTTGGTAGGTAGATTTTGAAGCAGATAGGAGTTTCTGTGAGCAACAAGCAGGGCAGTGAAGCAAAGGAGTGTGGGAGTTTCAATTGCAGTAGAGACCAGAAGGTGGTTGAGCTATTTTGTGGGCAACAGAGTCTGGGCGGGATGCTTTAGCATGGCAGGCTGTTAGCAGTTCTTTTATGTATTCGTTTGGCAATTATTTACTGACTGTCTTCCTTTACCCTTGGGACACAACAGAGCCAGAAGCGACAAGAGAGGGGACCTGACTTGTGTTTCTTATGAAGAATGGGTTAATAGGCAAGGTGTTTTATGTAGGCTAGGTGGTCGCAGACAGCTGGGATGAAACATTCGAGTTCTGACTCCAGGTAGGAGCCAGACCTCATTGTCACAGGAAGGGCCATGGCAGGTAGCCATCAGAACAGAGGTGAGCTAGAAGAACACTGTAAGTATCCTTCAACAGTGACAGACCAAAGAATGTCACTGAAGGGCCACGAGTGATTGTACAAGTTAAGACGAGGGAAAGTGGGGTACACCTGGAGTCCCCTAGAAGGCCTAGTAATAATGACATTCTGCCCATTGTTCTTTACAGGCAATGGGTGGCCAGCCCAGGAACATGTGGATATAACTACAGGGCTGGACAGGGCCACGGGGATGTAGATCAGTTAGTCAAGTGTATAGCATGTATAGCAGGCACAAAGTCCTAGGTTCAGTCTTCAGCAGTGGGATTAAAACAAATAAACAATGCATACACGCACACATTCACACACACACACAACCCACAATCTCGCACACACAAAAGGCAAGGCTAGTCATCCAAGGCCTGACTAGAGCTAGGGTTAAACTAGGGTTGCCATATGGGCCCTGCAGGTTTCAGATGGATGCCAGGGAACAACTGTTGGCCAGCAATAGGGCCAGGATGCATCACACGCAGAGGGAGGCCAGGAAGGAGAGCTTTCCTGGGGTAGGAATGAGGAAGAATGGCAGTGCTGCCCCTCGGCACCTGTGGTGGTTAAAACAGCCTGAGATACCCTAACCTCAGGGGCAAATGGCTTAGAGTCTGTCTCAGATTTTGACATGGGAATTTGATAAGGCTTCCTTACTCTTTGTCCCCAAGGGACGTTCAGGCCAGAGTGGATGATCTTCCCACCAAAGGTAGAGGGGAAGGTGGTAAGACAAAGACAGTGGAGGGCAGGGAAGAGCTCCAAGGCACACTGGGGAAGACTTCCAGAAATGTTTCCCATGCCTCTTCCTTTCCCTTGTGCTAGCCTTGAGCCATGCCCTGGATGCATGGAAAGAGTCAGTGCCAGCCACATGCCTCGCATGGGGAGTATGAAAAGAGCGTGGTGCAGGCAGATGCAGAACTCCCAGCAGATCCCTGGGAGACGTGCAGCTGGGCAGACAGTCAGAGGCTGTGAGATTGGGAAAGGAAGAGGAAGCTGTCCTCAGGTGGGGCGGAGGGCCCGCAGGGCAAAGGCCTGCAAGCTGGCTGGAGTTTCCGTCTCCTGAGTCACAGACCACAGAAGAGGGGGCAGATTTGGATCAAAAGCCACGAGGTCAAGGAGCAAGACCAGGGTCCTGTGGCTGGAGCTCAGGGTGAAAGGGGGCTGGGGAGACTTAGACCCGAGTTTCCCTTCCATCTACCCATAGGACAGCAGAGTCACTCCCTGGAGCAGGTGGATGAGCAAGGGACATTTTAGCTTTTTTCCACTTGAGATCAGCTGAGAAAGCTCTCAGCCAGATTGAGAATTAAACAGATTCAAGCTATTGAGTTGATTACAAAGATTGTGCGAGCCACAGGGGCTTAGGACAAACTCGAAGATGTGGTTTTCCCCAAGCAGAAGCTGTCATATTCTTTTTGTTGATTTGTTTTTTTGTTGTTGTTGTTTTTGTTTTTCTGAAGGAAGATCTCACTATGTAGCACGAGGCCTTGAACTCATAGAGATCTGCCTTCCTCTGCCTCCCAAGTGCTGGGATCAAAGGTATTCATGACAATACCTGGCTGTCATATTCTTGATATTCAAAACTTGGAGAAGAGCAGATGCTGTCAGTGGGCCTTGGAGTCCCTACCCAGGCATGGTCTCCCAAACATCCCCACCTTCTCTCTCTTTGGTGCTTGGTACCAAGGTTTCCCACTCCTGCTGGTGAATTCTAGTTAGTATCTGGTTGTCAACTCTTGTGTCTGGACAAGGGAGGGAGGGACCCAGGGACTTCTTTAGGATCCCTTAGCTTCAGAGTTCTGATCTGCACAGCTGAGTTCCAAGGCTCTGCTGTGCCGAGCATTGCCTGGAGCTACTGCTCTGCAGCCGGGCTGTGATTGGTCTGTCCTGGGTTTTACTTAGAGGTGGTTTCAGTGGGAATTGAGGGGAAGGGACACACCGAGTCCTCCCTTTCTCCTTCAGCACTGAGGAGTCCCAGGCAGATGCTGAGTGGGAGGTCAGTCAGGATTTGGAGAGCTGGAAGCAGTCAATTCTAGACAGGCCTAACTAGTTTTTCTATGCCTGGTCCCCATCTCCAAATCTGCAGACTCAGTTTGGGATCAGTTGGCATCTGAAGATATCAAAGGAGCCGGGTGTGGGTGTGCAGGCCTGCAATTCTAGCTCTCAGAGACTGAATTAGAAGGATGGAGAGTTCAAGGCTGGTGCAGACTACATAGGGAATTCCAGGCAAGCCTGGGCTACATAGCAAGACCTTATTGAGGCAGGGGGTGGGGCAAATATGAAGCATACATGTAAGATATACATGTCTGACTGGGATGGGGACCCACAAGTGTTCCACTTTTTATCCTCTACGGCTCTCCCATCAAGAGGACATACTTGGTTGGTGGGGATCTCCGTTTCTCACTATCTGACGCTGTTCCTTCTCTTGCAGGTTTTATACATCAGGAAGAAGAAGAGGTAATTCCCCAGATGGTTTCTGAAGCTTTAGCCTACAGGAAGGGCTGGGCTAGGGTCCAGGGGATGTGAGTGTGAAAGGAGAAAGAGGCCCAGCACTAAGTCTCCTGTCCCTGGGTGTGGGGGTGGAGATCAAGGCCTCTTCAGCCCACTCATGATTGGGGGTAGCCGCTTTCACACGCAGGCAGGCATATGATTCTGAGAAAATAGGTGTAACCCTGGAATCGGGTGTGGGGAAAGGAAAGAAGAGTAGGGGGTCATCAATATCCAGCTACCTTTACCCTGACGGCTTACGTTGGCTGCCACCGGCTCCCTTCTCAACTTCAGTCCATAGAGACTGGGATTGCAGTAGATTCCTGGCCCAGGCAGTCCCCATAGATCCTACAGCCAGACCCTGGGATGGCTAGTGTTTGTGCTAGGGCTGCCCATCTGAGAGTCAGCTTGATACTTCAGGTTCAAAGATGTCTATCAGTGAATCCTGAGGGAAGATCTAGGGTACCTTAAACTTGGTGTGTGGCTCTCTTGGCCACCAGGACTGAGGGAGGAAGGCTCTATCCTACCCTCAAACAGCCTCTGTCCTCCCCCCAAGGCTGGAGAAGCTACGCCACCAGCTCATGCCTATGTACAACTTTGACCCCACGGAGGAGCAAGACGAACTGGAGCAGGAGCTCCTGGAACATGGGCGAGATGCAGCCTCCATGCAGGCCGCTGCCTCCCTGCAGGCCACACAGGGCAAGGTAGGCACTGGCCAGTTTCCCCACCCACTCCTGGAGCTGTCCCGTCTCCTACAACCCACCCTCCATCCTTGCCATGCATTTTGCCATCCCCTGCCAGGTGGTGAGGTGGCAGCTCTGTGTATGTGGGTCTCCTCAGATATTTTTAGAAAGTGCTGGAATTGTTCTCCGGCCCTCATGGACTCACCATGCAAAGCCAGGCTTTGTGGGTTCTGCCTGGCTGAACTCTGACAGCCTGTAGATCTTGGAGGCCCAGCTGGGATCCCTGAGCCTAGTTTTCTCGTGGACATATGGACATCCAAATTCTTACCCTCATGTACTACCTGGGAAAGCGGAAAACAAACAAAAACTAAAGGCAAGACTGAGAGGGGTAAGGAGTCTTAGATTTCTCTAGTCCATGAGGATCCGTGGACCTGCATGAGTGGTGAGTGGGCTCAGACTCTTCAGCAGAGACAGCTCTGAGTAGGCTGGTGAATCCTAATGCCTGCCAGTCCGGGGCTGTGGAGACCCAAGCCAAACACTCCTCAACCATACCCTTATCTTCTGAGTCACCAGGTAACCTGGCCACTTGCCACCACTTTCCCAATCCTCAAAGCTCGAGGACCATGAAGGGCTGATGGGGGGAGGGGCTGTCCTTGATGGAGGGTGAGAAGGCCAGAGGTGAGATCTTCCTGCTGGCAGAAAGAACACATGCTGAATTAATTCAATACTAAGCCCATAGTAATTGCTGCCAAGGTCCAGGGCAAGCTGGGAATGGCTTGGGAGGGAGGAGCCATTGGAGCCAGGTCACATTTCTAGACTGAACTTGGCAGAAGGGCATTCTAGGCAGAAGGCGTAGCTGATACCAGGCAAAAGCAGGCACCAGGAAGTGAGGGTGGAAGCGACTGGACCAGAGACTGGCTTTGGTCAAGGTTTTGATGCCCCCGCCTGTCTCCCTGCAGGGCACTCTCTCTTCCCAAGGCCCACTGCAGAGGCCTAGCAGGCTGGTGTTTACTGATGTAGCCAATGCCATCCACGCATGAGTGGCCTGAGAACAGGCCTGGACCTCTGACAAAGACACCTGCCACAGTGCCAGCAGCACTGCCCACTTCCTGGCTGTCGAAACCTATTCTCAGGACCTGCGCCATCGCCACCACAAGACAGGAAAGGGCTGCGAGAGACCCCAGCTGTGCTGAGGCCCCATCCACTGACTCTCAGGCTTGAAGAGAGAGCTCTGACCAGGCTAGCCATCTGGCCACTGACTTCTCCGGAACCAATGGCCCTGGCACGGAAGGCAGCCCTCATGCAGGAAGGCTAAGAGCCGCTGATGGCTTCCTGGTCTCCTGTACATAAACCTCGCATCAAGGTCTGCTTCTCTGATGGGGAGGAAGGGCACCAGCTTGAAGGGCAAGGGAGAAGAGACATGCTCCCCCTCTCTAGGATTGCCTTTTTCTTTCTTTCTTTTTATTCTGGAGTCTCCTCTAGGGTAGAGAGAGGCAAATCCCCAGATGATAGGGACAGGGTAGGGCAGCACCTTTTGGGGAAGGTTGTTTGGTTGTTTGTTTTTTGAGACAGGGTCTTGGCTGGCTTGGAACTTGCTGTGTAGACAAGGCTGGTCTCCAACTCAGAGGTCTACCTGCCTCTGCTTCCTGAGTGCTGGGATGAAAGGAGTACCCCACCACATCCAGCTAAGGCAGCACCATTCATAGGCCCAGGAGACCCAGGTTCAGAGCTGGAAATGTCCAGTAGAAAGGGCTGCAGAAACCCAGGGGCTGTCCGTAGTTAGGGTATTGGATATTTTGGTAAGTGGGTGATCACGAAGTTTCTCAGCCACGTATCACTGGCAGCCAAGGCAGCTGAGAGAGATGAGATTGGGAGCCTGGGTATGGAAAGATGCAACTCCCGAGATGTGGAGAAAGGTTTTACACATGTGCATGAGTGGGCTGTACACAGACATGTACCTGTTCCAGAATAAGACGGAGGCCCTCCACATCAGCTCCACTTTGCAAGCTGACTCCCACCCCGTGGTATGGAGTGGAGCATCACCATAGGCTGCTTCCTCTCCTTCAGTGCTCAGGACTGCACGGAAGAGGGAAAGAGGGCTGGGTTCCTCTGTCCACTGTGTTTCTTCAGTGGGCTCCAAAAGCTGGGCTGAGCTGCTCCTGGAAATGGCTCCCCTTCCAATATGGGGTTCTGGGAAAGGCCTTTGGTCTAAGGGCAGTTACAGGTCAGACTGGTAGGAAAAGTTAAGGTTGCCTAGAGGGGAGTGTTCTATGAGGAAAAGACCTAAGAAAGCGAGTCTGGTTTTAGTTTTGCCCTTCCGCCCTCTGTTCAGGAAGGGCCACTCAGTGTCGTGGACCGTGGAGGGGGTTTCTGCCTTTGGTCTCACTCTAGTCTTGGACGCGGGAGGCTGACACCAGGGGCATTTGGGCAGAGTAATCACAAAGATGGGGGGGGCAGTTTTCTCCACTGGGACTCACACGTGAGCATGCACAGAGGCGTGTCCCCAGCTTCGTCACCATGGCTGTCCTCTGCTGGCTAGAGGGGATACGGGGGTGGCACATGCTGTTGGGCTGATCCCACATGTCAGGAGGTGAGAGGCTAGGAGGATCCCTTGGGGCCAGCTCTGGTTTTATCCCCGCCCGGAGATGCTATAAATAATTAGCGCTTGAGCAACTGGAGGGCTCTGAGTAATTTAGGATGCACAACGCTGTAATTTAACTCGCAGCATCTCCATGTGGGAGAGCATTAAAGATGTAATTAAGATGTTTACACAAAGAGAATGGAGTCTTTGACACTTGGGGTGCAAAACCCCAGGAGGGGACACAATGGGTGAGGTGAGGCTCTGTGGGAGGCCTGGGGACAGTCACTTGGATTCCAGCTATGAGGTGGCAGGCAGCCCAGCTGTTTTTCTTGATCTGTCCATGGAAATCCTTTGGCCTGGAGTCCAAGGTTGCTCTGGGGCCTCATGCCTCAACTGAGAGATGGGGTGACAAGGCCTGCAGTTGTGGAGAGGTCAAGAGGACAGAATCCTGTGAGATCAGGTCCGGAAGAGGGCTTGATCTCCAAAGATTGTGGAGTGCCATATGGTGTCTCAGGGGATCCACAGGACTTAGGCTTGAAATACAAAAGTAAAATGGTTTTCTATGGAACACAAAGTAAAGGATATTTAGCATGGGATGGGAGTCGATCAGGTTTTATGTATGGGACCCACATGCGAGGCTAACAGAGATGTAGAGGAAAAAGACACTGCAGTGACCAGTTTGCCAGGAACGCCCCAGTGATAATGCTGAAAGCCCCTTAAGAGAGCTAACGTTCAGACTAGCATGGTGGAAATATGGAGGGACTTAGCCTCCAAGTTCCCTGATGAGGGCTGGGCTGAAGGTGGGGGTTGTGGGTCGTGGGATAGAGCTCCAGCAAGGCTGAGAACCGTGTACTCCATGGGTCACACACATGAGTTACGGATGAACCTGTCAGTAATAGATTGGCTGTTAGGAAAGCCTCCCCGCAGAAGACTGGCCGGGTGTGGGATGAACAAGCGGGCTGTGTATTCCCACATTATTAGTCAACCCTTGGTTCAGGGGTGGGGGTGCTGCAGAGCCCTTGGTATCCTGAAGAAATAAGGGTGACACCCAGGGACCAGGGATGCTGACGGAAGTATGAGAACCCCGGTGCCCTTTCCTTCTGCCACATGACCAGGCCCCTTTCCTGAAGGGTGGGCCTGGCTAAGAGACGGACACAGGCTGCTTTCTGTGAGTGGCAGGCCGCCTATTTATAGACTGTACCCTCACGGTAAATTGTCCCTTCTACTCACCTTGCTCTGTTTTCTAGATCTTCTACTTTCAGAAGAAATCCAAATTCCCAAATCTCTCACAGAGTGTAGGGTTGATAAACATTGAGGTGAAAGGGTCTGGTGGATGTGTTCTCCTTGAGGACTTAGGCTTGGTTGCCTAAGGAGACTGTCCTTGCCACTCTCGGTGGTGAATGGGGTAAGGCTGATTGCCCACATTTGCTGCTTCTAAAATTGGCAATTGGGCCCCTCTAAGGAAGGCCCTCCCCCTCCCTATAATCAATCAGACTCTCTGTATGTCTCTCTGCCTCTCTCTCTCTCTCTCTCTCTCTCTCTCTCTCTCTCTCTCTCTTTCTCTCTCTCTCTCTCCCATGCATGAAATATCTCTTTATGAATAGAAACTAGGTCTTCAGGTCAGAAGCAGCAGTGGCTGGCAGCGGGCGGTGTCAGGGTAGATGTGGATGGGCGCCTTCAAAGGAGGCTGTCTCTTGTTTAATATAGTGAAGTGTCACCTTGGAGCCGAAGTGAATAGAGTAATCCCATTGCTTGGCTGCAGGCAGACAGTGGGGATGCCTTCAGAATGTAAAGGGAAGCTCCTGTCGGAGAGAACTCAGAAACTCCTGCAGTATTCCGACCTTCCTGGAGACTCTTAGAAACATTCCCTCCAGCCCAGTAGCCCATCAGTGAGCCAACCCACACTGTACTTTGTTCTACACGGAAGAGAAGGATGCCAAGTAGAAGAAAAAAAAAAGATGAGCAGTGTTATGAGTGCCCTGTGTGTCCATATCTTTATATTTACAGCTAAACATAAAGAAAGGCAGAAGGTTAGGTCAGGGAATGCCTGGGATGTTCTGAGGCTCAGACATCCCTATGCTGTCCTGTGAAGCTGAACCCCTTTGGTAGGCCTCAGTGTGTGTGTCAGGGTGGGGCTTGTCTAAGAATGTCTGAGGGAAATCCCAGGGCATCCTGGCCTCCAAGGGCTTAGGACCTGGGGACAACTGCAGGTGGGACAGCTGTGGCTTCCCAGAGAACACTCTTGAAAGGCCATACTGAGAAACAAACACGAAATCTGTGAGCCCCAGGTACAGGGAGAGGAAGAGGATGGGGAAGAGCAGGGGCCCTTTAGGTGTCACCAAGTAGGATTAGGACATGCATGTGCCATCCCACCTGGGACGAGGTTTGCCTGTTGCATGCCACCTCACTTCACCTTCAGAGTTAGTTGGCAGTGGTCACTGGCTCTTACTTCTCAGCGTGGGTCCTGCAGAGGCAGATCAGGGTAGGGGACAGGACTCCTTAGGGACATCCTGATCACCCCCACCCCAAGACCCCAAGAAAGCTAGCTGAAGCAAGCAAGCATGCAGAGTAAGGATAAGAATCTCAGAGAAGGACTGGAGAGACTGATCAGTGGTTACAGCATGTACTGCTGTTGCAGAAGACCTCAGTTCTGCTCCCAACATCCATGTCAGATGGATCACACCCCCTGTGACTCCAGCTCCCAGCATCCACGTCAGAAGGATCACACCCCCTGTGACTCCAGCTCCCAACATCCATGCCAGATGGATCACACCCCCTGTGACTCTAGCTTCAGAGGCCCCCTATTCGGGCCTCCATAGGCACCTGCACTCAGGCACACAAACCTATGCATACAGATAATTTTACAAAATACAAATGAATCCTTTTTATTATTATTTTTTTTCAAGAATCCCAGAGCAAAGCCCAGTGATAGAGCCTTCATTCAAGAGAGGGACTGCCAAGGAGGTAGAGGAGCCGAGTGCTGAGACGTGAAGGCGGTTTCCTTCTCTTGCCCCTGCCCTGGTACAGGGGTGTGTGTGTTAGAAAGTCCACCTCTCTGAGAATCCCAGTTTGCAGGACACTTCCCAATTCTCACAGTTCATCTGCGAAGGTGAACTTGATCGACAGGCCTGAGATCCCTGTATGGTGGACAGGAAGAAGGCTGGAACACTGCGAGGTCCCTCAGAGTCGGGGTTTCTGTACCTAGTGGAGAAGTGCTGGAACCTGCAGGCAGGGTGGGGGGTGACCGAGAGAGGTAGCCTTTCCCTGAGGTCAGGGATCCTATCTCTGATCAGTGGGTCACAGCCTGCGCTAGTGCCTTAGGGTTTCTATTGCTATGATAAAACACCAGGATCATAAACAACTTGGTGAGGACATCAGTTTACAGTTCCAAGTTGTCATCCATCACTGAGGGAAGTCAGGGCAGGAGTCTGGAGGCAGCAGCTGGTACACAGGCCATGGGGGGAGGGCGCTGCCCACTGACTGCTCCTCGTGGCTTGCTCAACTTGCTTTCTTATACACCCCTAGGCCACCTGCCCAGGAGTGGCACCACCCACAGTGAGCTGGGTCCTCCCACATCAATCATTAATCAGGAAAATGCACCACAGGCTTGTCCACAGGCCAATTAGGTGTGTGTGTGTGTGCATGCGTGCGTGCGTGTGTGTGTGTGTGTGACAGGGAGGGATTTTTCTCAGCTGAGGCTCTTTCTTCAAAATGACTTTAGCTTGTGTCGAGTTGACATAAAACTGGCCAGCACAGCACAGTCCTCAGTTAGAGGAAAGCCCCAGGCAGCTTGGAAGCAGAATCGATCAAGCCTCCTTCCACGTGTCCCCCATAGTGTGAGCGTTCTAGAATGTGTAGGGAGCTAGAAGGGCAGGAGGAGGAGGGCTGGGACACAGATGAAGTCAAAGTGAGTACAAGAGCCCCGTTAAATTTCTCACTGGCCTCTGGAGTCCGGGCTCCACTCACAAGAGAATGTTCTGAGTAACAGTTGCTGGTAGCCGACACAGGAGTGACGTGGATCCTCACAGAGGCCTAGAAGGCGACAGCAGCAAGCATTGCCCAAAGTGGTCAGAAACATAAATAGGTCAGTTCTTGAGTGTGGAGGGTTAGGAAGAGGCTGGGAATCTGCCTGGTGGGTGGGGTGAGCTTGGAGAGAACTGAGACTCTCTCTTGCCTCCTGGTACACCCCCTGAGGAGAATGGGTACCAAGCCCTCTGTTTCTGGGCCATGGCTTCCTGAGGCTCCCGGACACATTGCCACATGATCTCCAGCCTAGACCTCCCCATCAGAGGCTTGGCCTGGTCCAGAGCAAGACAGGAGGATCCCTGAGCCAAGGACCCATTGCCTCTTCCGTTTCACCTGGTCACTAGACCCATTGGTGCCCTGCTCCATCAGGTGACTGGCAGGCCTGAAGATCCCTCTGGGAGTCCAGGTCTGACCTCACCTCACCCCAGCCATCTCTCTCACCACCCCACTCGCTTGTCCCAGATGGAATCCAGGCCAGTCCCCAGGAACGGAAGTTTTGGCAGAAGTCACAGTTTGGGCTGGATTCCACTTGGCGAGAGAACTCACGCTCCTCCCTGTTTCCCGCAGTCCAGCTGGATGCTCCTACAAACACCTCTGCAGCTCACATGTTTATAACACAATGGGGTGGGGTGGGTGGGGACTCTCAGACTCCTCCGACACAGGAGTCTTTGACATGTGGCTTCCTTTCTTTCCCGGGCCCCTCAGACCTCACAAAGTACACAGGACTAAGCAAGCATTTTGAATGTGGCTAACAACATGTGAGGGGCTTCCTGACTTCCAGGACCGACTTTGCTGAGTTAGAGGTACTGACCAGAGCTGCTCCCAGGCCCCAAAGTTTTAGTCAGGGAAGGCTACTTGGAGAAGGCACAGGGCCATGCCCAACCACTTTCTCCTTCAGCTGTCCAGGATATGGCTGTGGCTGTGGCTATGACTCACCTATGACTTCCCCCAAGAAATCCTGTGGAGGTTAGTACTCTCTCTCCCAGCAAGCACCGTGCATCCAAGAGATGCCACACTCTGGACAGATTTTCTTGTATTGACCATACAGGCTTCCTAGCTCTGAGTTAGTTGAAAGCCCAGTACAATAGGTCATCCATAGCCTGGGGATGAGCTTCTCTACTCAAATAAACTAAAGCTTCTTCCCAGGTCTTGGAGCCTTTTGAGTTGAGGGTTTATCCCTCATGAGGAGTGCTAGAGGGAGGACTTGGATAAAGTCATCTTAGAGGCCTGGTTCCTATGAGCCTAGAACGGGACAGATGGCAGGTAGGCGCAGAAGGAAACCTGCCTGCCTGGCGCCCAGGCACCCATCTGGTCAGATGGCAGAAGACATACTTAGCCAGAGGCTGGAGGTTGGCTGAAGGCTAGAGTCCAGCTGCCTGCATTGCTTAGCCAGAGGCTGGAGGTTGCGTGAAGGCCTGGAGTCCAGCTGCCTGCATTGCTTAGCCAGAGGCCGGAGGTTGGGTGAAGGACTGGAGTCCAGCTGCCGGCACTGGCAGGAATGGGACCTGGAACACACTCCTGTCGCAGACACGTTCCTTCTGGATGTGACAGCTCACGGGGAGCTGCCC